ATGCTAATTTTACTCCTTTAAAATGCAATGACTTTCAAATGAGAAATCTTTAGCATGCCATTATGCCATAAACTATGAAACAAAATTTAAAATGTTATCTGAAACAGTGTAATTGTACCACCAGCGTTAGCGCTGGCGGTACACATGGTTTCGGTCCCGTCCGGATCGTTCCACCGGCTCCGTTGGCTCCGCCGGCTCCGCCGGACGGCTACCGTTACCGCTTCTCCTCCTAGACGGTAAGGGCCCCCGTACCCATCTCATGGATTTAGGTCACCTATAATCTCAACTCGTTCCACGTAAAATTTGGGCTTTGTCGGTATTGGGGTCTGGGTGTGGCACTCATTGCAATGCACCCTTGTCTAAAAATGGCAAAATTAAATGCTAATTATCTACCCTACGGAAGGAGTTANACTCTCAAATGAGAAATCTTTAACATGCCATTATGCCATAAACTATGAAACAAAATTGAAAATGTTATCTGAAACAATGTAATTAATTTAGAAATTTAAGCCAATTATTTTATCAAAATCCCATCACGTCGGCATAAAATCACAATTTTCTCCTGATTACTCCCTTCTCAATCATCTGTGGTCCTATTGTATTTTAATTCATATTTTCTCACAGAATAATTCCAGTTTTATTAACAAGGACTCTTGATGAGCATTTAGTGGTCAGATTGGAGGAGACTTGATAGCCTCCAGAAAGAATCCAGATGGACAAGTAGTAATAAGTGATATTAGCTTTCCATCTGATTTGTTTGCTATATTCTGATCGGCCAACTGTAAGTCTGAGTGGTTTCCTGAAGTAGCCAATGTGTGGAAAATGGATTTTACTTTTTATCAACCACACAACTTGTAGACAAGTTAAGTTGTCCCTATATAGTGGAATAAACCTTATAGAGTTTTCATTTTTTTGGATTTAAGCTTTTTTATCTTGGTAGTACACACACAATAGCATAGAAGGTCTGTAAATGTTATTTAACATAGATTTAGCATCCAATGAACACATTATTATTATCATTATTATATGTTGTCTTATGCTTTATGGATAAAACAATGGCAATTTCGAGGGTATATGCTCAGGCCGGCGCGCCCGGGCACAGTTGTTGAATCTTTTGCTTCATCCCTCATTTCCCCACCTTGGTATCTGCCCATATGTTAATAAAAACTATGGCACCAATTAAAAAAAAACACTTTGTTTTTTTTCTTGTTCATATTTTCCTCTCCACCTTTCAGTTCATTCTACTTCTTTCTATACATTTTACTCTCCACCTCTTTCATTTTCATCATACTAAGTGAAAACTAGTGTTTCTGATCAGCTGCATGTAAACCTAAGGAAGTATCATTTAAACTTTCAAAAGGCCACCAAGCCCTATACCTGTTTGGGTTACGGGTATTGACCTATTCGCTACAGAAAAGCTTCGAAGAAATGTACAGTGAAGAGCTTTTACTCTTGGAAATTACTTGCAAAAATATCCTTCTATAAGTGCTCCCACCTGTGAGTACCTGAGGGTTCTACTTCATTATTCTCAAGTATGTGCCCAGGAAGCAAATTACATGCTTGCTTAAGAAAACAAATACCCCAGTACAGATTTATGTCAAAATTATGTTGTGTCACCTGTTTAGGGCTGATATTTAAGACATTAAAAGGTTTTGAGCATCTTTCTGAGAAATGTATTGGGGCTGTGTTTGTTGATTCCTGGAGTTGGTCAACAGCCAAAATTTTGGATTGAGTTGCAGAACCAGTTTCTTCACTCTTATGTTTTCTATTTATGGGAAAAACACTCTAAAGTTGCTATAAAGCCCTTTTTCTAAGTTAAAACTTTTTAAAGCAGAAATAACCTGATACCAGATCATCCCAGTGTTGCAAGGCGCTATTTGTGTCGAATGAACACCGAGGGAACAGATGTATTCCCATTTGCGTGCAAGGCAGAATTAAGCGTAGTGACATGCTAGATATCGCCAGCGGGCAAATGAACACAACATGTGTTGATGTGTTTGAAAGTGTGTAGCTGATAGAGGATTGGGCCAGGGGACAAATATGCTAAGTAACCAGCTATACACCTTAAAGGCAGTCACCATACTTTTTTATTTCATGTTCCATGTGCACAGAATTCAGTACACATATCAGATAGCTATTAATCTGCTATACATGTACCTGGTGTGGCACCTGACCCTACTGTAAGAGTTTGCCTTTTATTTTCCCCCAACTTCCAAATAACTATCATTTTTGGGAAATTCATAAACTTTTACGGGCATCTAGAGGGTCAAATGTTAAGCCATCCCAAAGAGATAGTGACCTTTTACTTTATAATCAGATATTTCTCTTCCTTTCACTTGGAGAAAACCAAAAAACTGCTTCCCCAAAATACTGCATTAACTTCCTGTGCTGTGTGTTAATTAAAATCAACCACCATTTTCCAATTAACTGTTTGCATAGAGGAAACCTTTGATTTTAATTAAAGAGGAGAATGATATGGCAGAGTCATCATTTATTAGTACACAGATCACAAACTCTTGGGAATTTTCTGTACAATTTTTTTTCATCAAAATGCTTTGATTAAAAATTCACTGTCCTGTTTCTGAACATGTTCACTAAAGATTGTGTTGTTGAGTAGGATGGATCTTCCCCAGAGTGTGTTAAATATTGCACTTTATTTGGGCTTTTTCTCATTTTTTTTTCACTGGGTGTATATACTGTATGTGTGAAAAATATATGAAACCCTGGGACGTAAAATCTGATGAATAAACTAGAGTTAGGCGACAACGGTTAGAGGTGTTGTGTACTGTAGGATAAGATTAGCAGGTGTATGAAGTACAGGGTAATCTTAAATTTTCTGCACTCATTTACATTAAGTTTCCATACTGTCATGCACATTTTCAAATGTGTTCCTTTTCTCACAATACTAGTGTTCATTAAATTAATTAAACCATTTTAGTTTAAAAGCAGAACCTCTTAGAATGACATACTGTAAAATTATTTTTATAAAGTCTCACCAAATGGGAAAAAAAGTTTGCATTTGTGGGTTTTATCATTGCTTTTAATCTAAAGGGCATGCTTATGTAATCATCAACATAAAGGTAGATTAGATACAAATTTAGGTAGGTATGTTGTTTGTGGTTGCCCTGTTTTATGACACCAAGACATGACTAATCTGGAATCAAAGATGTGTTTGAAATTTAATCAAAATCTCTAATCAAATATTCAAAATGTGTAATTATCAAGTTTTATCACACTTTTTGCACTTGGTGCGTTGATTGTATTTAACATGTAAATGTATGGCTGCATAGCTCATGCCTGTAAGTTAACATTAGGACAAAAGTTGGGTTTTATGCCTGATTAGGCCTTGAGTCATTTTCTTCAATTTGTTTCTGTGGAAAGAATAAAAAACAACTGCACTCTAATTAGTCTCCAGCTAAAGTTTTAGGTTTTGATCAATTGGAAGCTTGATGAATCATTATGCTGATCAATATGCTAGCTTTTGTTTGAGAGAAACGGAAGGACCATGTATTTGCATATAGGATTTTATTAGCATCCACTGCTATTGTCTCCATCAAGTGAAAGAGAGAGTTAATTGATACTCCGTGACAGTTTGTAAAGTGAATTTGTAAGCCGTAGTTAAACATTTTACTCTTTGAAATTCTATTCCTTTAATTATGAGCTCCATTGTGTGTAGTTACTTAAATATTTAACATCAAAGAAAAATTTGTCATTGTCCTGGGCTAATGTTAGCATCCTAAGAATCTCAGCAACTCTTGTCTTTCTTTGAGACCTACAAACTTTGTCTGAATTTCGTTTGCCTCTTGGGCCTTTTTTTTTTGTTTTCAAATGTACGACTTGTGGCCATTTACAAGAACGTGCTTGAACTGGTGATACTTGCATAATGGATGTACTAGCCAATTGGAAGTTCACTTGTATCAACTGTATGTTTCAAAAAAAAGACAACAAAAAAAAAGACATCCCTCTTTTTTTGTTGGGTAACATTATTTGCCTTCAGGGAGAATTCTTACTATGGTTTCTTCTATTCTGTAATGATGTTTAGAAACCAGTAAACAGGAACCTTTCCATTGCTTTTCCTTCCTGATATCAAATAGAGGGGTGAGGTTAAAAAAATAGCGAAACATTCTGTTCAAACAGCTGGGCAGATTGGAGGCTGGTATGATTTCACTGTTCTGCAAGTTGGCCTGCAAACACGCTCAGGTTTAATTATCTTGGCTTATTTATTCTATATTCTTTCAGCAGCAGGGAAGTAAAACTGGTATAAAATTAGCAGAAAGAAGTCATCACAGCTGGCTGTAGGCTAGAAGCTGTTGATGTTAATGTAGTTGATGGATTTTGTTCAGAGTACTAGAACTCTGTCAACCAGCATTAATTATAAGTGATCAGTCATTAGAGAATGTTTTTGAGATAGCAACTTTGCTTCAATTAATCTTTAGGGAAAATCTTTTTATACAGTGCAAAAGAATTATGAGGCAAGGTGATGCAATTGTGTTTTATCGGCTTTGATAATTACCATAATTAAAGGCCTTTGGAAAGTGTTACTCAAATTATTTCCATTATATTACATTAAAATTAACATCTATAATCCGTTTTATCATGCAATCTATGAAAAGCCTTTTAATAATTTAGCCGATTAGTCATCTCTTTCCTCTACCAATATAAAATTAACAGGAAAAAATCCTGAATCCAAAATTTTACTGCGCCCTCCAGTTTTCTTTCAGTGTCTGTTTATCTAAAGATCAGAACAAATGTGAGGCATTATACCTGTGAATGATTTTAAAGTGGAATGAAATATAAAGATTTTTATAATTTATTATCATTTAATGTACATAACATTTGGATGAGCGTAAATGCTAACAAAAGCACATTTATTGCCTCTCTTTCATGTTTTGGTATTTGGTACTAATAGAAAACCAGTATGCCTTACCAAAAAATTATTCTTGAAAATATGAGTGTACATTTTTTATTGGTTTTTAAATATCGTATTATTTTATTTCCAGTCACCAGAACCATACTCGCACTAAGCCTAAGCAAAAGAACAGCTGATAAGGAACAGAGGATATTTTGTTTTACGTTCAACTAAAATGATAATAAATTGTGTCTGTTTACACATTTTACTTGTTGGTTGTCTTAGTATGTATATGTTAACTGAACTTGGGAGTCATTTAACTATGAACACTTCCTTAGATATGAGAAATGTTTTAATTAAGTGTAATTTAAGTAATTTAATTGTTGTTATTATTATCATTATTATTCAAAGGCACAAAGGGCTTTTTTTTCAAAATGTAGTCCTTTTTTATTATTGATTAACATTATATGATAAACAGAAGCTGAAATATATGAAAACATTTAAGTTTTAAGATCATGACTACTCTTACACTTCTGAGAGGTGGTATTGATTATTAGACAGGATGTTCAAAATTCAAATACTGACATGGACAACATGTTTAGTTACAGTTTTTCTGTTAATTAATGAATGTTATAGGTAAAATTGATATTCAGCAGTAAGGAAAAATATGTAATGTGCAACCAAAATATCTTTTGGAGTATTAAGCACCAATAATTTTAGCTTTATGCCTTTTACTTAGATTATATTGTAAGGAATTCATAAGTAATGCACATTATTTGTACATCTGTTTCTTATGCTTTTACTTTATGACTTTATTAGATTATATACCAGCATTTATTATTTAAAAGGTAATTACAGTGCTTTCATGATACTGTGATGCCTTTTCATTTTTATGTGGAATTAAATTCCCCTTAATATTAGATATTTCATTTAAAATGTCAAAATTGTCTTGTCAAAATTTACTTCATGCTTAATTTTGAATTGCTTTATAGTGGATTGATGGTATTCAATTAATTGATATTAATGACGTTATGTGAAAAACTAGGCTTGAATTAACTTAATTACCTGCTGCAATATTTAGTGAGAAAGAACTTATGCAAGTCAATCAAGTGTGAATGCACAGTGTCAGCCTCAGTAAAGGTATTGTAATTGAAGAAATCCTACTGCTTTAACAATAATCTCTGCTGACTATGTCAGACATGAGCCTAGGACTGGGTTCCCATGCCTAGATCGATCCATCTGGATCAGTCTAACTTCCTGGGGAATCTCACTAAATTGCTATCAACTAACCAGCTTAAATGTCTGTCACGCCTACCGAATCAGCTGGGGGGTAAAGATAATTACCCCCTAACAGCTTTACTAGGCATGACAGACATTTAAGCTGGTTAAGTTGATAGCAATTTAGTGAGACTTAACAGGGAGATAGATCAATCCAAATATCTGTGGGAATGGTCCCTATGTTTAAAAAAAAAACTGAACATTTATCATGTGACCCAACACCTAACCTTGATGAATCTCAGGTACCATCAGAATTGAATTTAAAAACACAAAATACAGCTTTTCCGCAGAAAAAGCTTATGTCTACACTATATACTGAACATTCAAGTGCACCAAACCAGTAAAGTGGTATGTTAGATTAATAAACATGTGAATTTGTGAAATGGATAGAGATCAATTAAAAAATTATTTTTCTAAATCCAGTGGTTCAGCATGAGTAGCCATGGTATCCATCCTTTTCTTTAACACAAAATTGATTATTTTTAATACTAATTGGCAAGAGGTACTGTTTGTTAATATGCAAAGAAGGGTATTCTTGTTGCACTGATAAGTTAGATTATAATATACACGTACTTTCATTCATTTGTTTTCAAAGGGATCATTTTTTAAAAAATTATTCATGTTTGTATTGTAGCATGTTGCGAGGCAGTAAGTGTTTATTGTTTTAACGTACTATTTATTAATTTCTTATAGATGGATGTTGCTGAGGTAGAGGTTAGGGTAGTAACAGAAACATACCAAAAATATCATCAAAATACATTTTAAAAGGCACTTTGAGGCAATAAATTAACATCTCTAGTTATATTTTAAATCATGATAAAACACTTTTTAGTGGCTACTGTTTATTTACCAGGTAGCTGTGTGAGTAAAAAAAAATCAGTAGATTTTTTTATCAAATATTTTGTGTTTTTGCCCTTAGTTTTTCACTCTAGTTATTCTTAACTTTGGTTTGACATGCTATTATTTTATCTGGATAAATACACAAGTAGGTTATAAGAATGGTTTTAATGATATTTATCATGATGTTTTAGACTTAATTTTAATGTTATTACAATAAAGGCAAAAAAAAACATTTTCTTGTTATCTTTGCCTTGTTCTATGAAAGAAAGATTATAAGTATGTATATAATTGGCAAATGAAAAGTGCTATGAAAATGTATCCTTGACATACAGAATAAACATGTATGGTTGTTTTCTGTATAACCTACCAAAAACCCAATTTTCATCTGCAGTTTTGATTTTAGTGAATTTTAACAATCTTGATTAAAAACAAGTGATTTAATGGCATGGGCTTTTTCATTCAAAACAAACAACCTGTGTTTGGGAGGGGAGCATATTAGATAACTACATCAGATCACATTATCAACCAATGCATAGAGACATGTTGACTGTGTTGCCTCTTTTGAACACCTTTGATCATTCAAAATGGAATACAATCAGCTCAAGAAAGTGTCTTTTAACTGAAGTTTAGATGGAGCCACTTAAATCTGATTGCATCCTGAGCAGTTAAGACAGACAGGTAGAAGTGAAAAATTGCTTACTGATTGCAATCACCTGGTCTTAACACAAAAACTGTACAGCTTCCACTTTGCATGGAATTTAACGGAGCTTATTCACGTTCTACATTGATTTTGACATGGGTCAAAACTAGTTTCTTTACCAATGAAATCAGAGAAATTCCTCTTGATCACGAACTATGTCTATGGGGGGGTAGACTTCTCTGAATAGGCAGCTTTATAATGAATTATCATGAAAGGAGTATTTAGAGGGGTGGGCAACCCAAGTTCATAATAATTCCATCTGGTCAAGCCAAATTCAAGTGCGAAATGTTAAAACTTCCTTTAAAAGATTGTAATTTGAGCTTCGCACATCATTACTCTGTGGTGTTTCTGTTCACCATGTGTGTTTGATGTCACTCAAGAGGTTTGATGGGAAACTAAGGTTCTGGGAAATGTTGACTTTGCTGTAGAGAGTTCTTATTGTGTCTTGATTATTGAAGTGTTTGTGAAGAAGTGTTATACAAAACACAGCAGCTTGATGTCTGCAGACCATCTGTACATATCCAAATAGAAAATGTTTTCAGATTATTATGTGAGAGAAAATTTATGGTTGTAATACTGTAGTATATTATAACTCCACAAGTCATCAATAGATGCAACCTGGAAAATACCTGAAAACGATAGTATACTTCCAACAAATGTTTTGCCCCAATTATAAACAAATATTAAACTTGATTAACAAAGGAAGAATCTATAGACCAAGTCGTTAATTGATTAATTTCTGCAGAACTGAGTCCTCTACAGAAACCAGACTTATTCATCAGTTGTCACAATATTGCTTCATCCAATGAATCAAAAATGAATCATGTTTTTAACATTATGTCAGGAAACATAATTTTTCCTCCAGCAGCATGAAATTGTATTATCTTGTCATCCGCCTGCCATCCATACAGATGGCTGTGGCATCCAGTGCCCATTGAACTCTAATTGGTAGCCATTGTCTTGGGGCAAAGAAGGCACCGGCAGACGCTCTGCAATAAAAGGGAGTGAGTGATTGCCTTGAAATATGAGGCATATCTGCCCTGAAGGCAAAATGCTTATTTTTTTAATTCATTTATTTGCATAATATATTTTTAATTTCACATTATGACTATATTGATTTGCATTCAAAGATGTTTTTGAGTAAATAAAAAAATCTTTAGAATGAGAATCTTCTGCATCTAAGAAATGTCATATCATTCTGAATAGATGTTCTGACCAGTCATCTGTAGACAACTTATTCTTTAGAGAATAAAGCAGTAGACATACTATTACAATTAGACCCTAAGTGTCCCATTAACTGTAGTGCTTTATTGATCATTTCATGTTTAAGTGTTTTAACATCGTTGGACAAAGAGTCAGGAAACTGATACCCTATTATCCCTTTCTTTTCATACCAAAAATCATTTCAAAAAAATAAAAATTATAAATAGTACTTTTGCATGATGTCTGCTTGAAACAACTGGCATCCATGTGATAACAGATTTGGTCAATTTAATTCATTAAAAGCCATGGCATTGTAATCTTACTGATTTATTAATATGTGTTAATTGGTGAACAAAGAACTTTTTAAGAACAAAGAACAAAAAAAAACTTGAAAATGCACTGTTCAGTTTAATGCAAATAAATCATGTTAGACCAACATTTGTTCATCACGTTTTTTTTTTTTTTTTAATNTATGTGGGGGTCTATACGAATGTGCTTGCTCCAGCTGGTGGTACAATATTTGGAGGCGGTATCGCCTCTCTGATCCTCTAGTTAATTTAGAAATTTAAGCCAATTATTTTATCAAAATCCCATCACGTTGGCATAAAATCACCATTTTCTCCTGATTACTCCCTTCTCAATCATCTGTGGTCCTATTGTATTTTAATTCATATTTTCTCACAGAATAATTCCAGTTTTATTAACAAGGACTCTTGATGAGCATTTAGTGGTCAGCTTGGAGGATACTTGATAGCCTCCAGAAAGAATCCAGATGGACAAGTAGTAATAAGTGATATTAGCTTTCCATCTGATTTGTTTGCTATATTCTGATCAGCCAACTGTAAGTCTGAGTGGTTTCCTGAAGTAACCAATGTGTAGAAAAATGGATTTTACTTTTTATCAACCACACAACTTGTAGACAAGTTAAGTTGTCCCTATATAGTGGAATAAACCTTATAGAGTTTTAATTTTTTCAGATTTAAGCTTTTTTATCTTGGTAGTATACACACAATAGCATAGAAGGTCTGTAAATGTTATTTAACATAGATTTAGCATCCAGTGAACACATTATTATTATTATTATTATATGTTGTCTTATGCTTTATGGATAAAACAATGGCAATTTCGAGGGTATATGCTCAGGGGCACAGTTGTTGAATCTTTTGCTTCATCCCTCATTTCCCCACCTTGGTATCTGCCCATATGTTAATAAAAACTACGGCACCAATTAAAAAAAGCACTTTGGTTTTTTTCTTGTTCATATTTTCCTCTCCACCTTTCAGTTCATTCTACTTCTTTCTATACATTTTACTCTCCCCCTCTTTCATTTTCATCATACTAAGTGAAAACTAGTGTTTCTGATCAGCTGCATGTAAACCTAAGGAAGTATCATTTAAACTTTCAAAAGGCCACCAAGCCCTATACCTGTTTGGGTTACGGGTATTGACCTATTCGCTACAGAAAAGCTTCGAAGAAATGTACAGTGAAGAGCTTTTACTCTTGGAAATTACTTGCAAAAATATCCTTCTTTAAGTGCTCCCACCTGTGAGTACCTGAGGGTTCTACTTCATTATTCTCAAGTATGTGCCCAGGAAGCAAATTACATGCTTGCTTAAGAAAACAAATACCCCAGTACAGATTTATGTCAAAATTATGTTGTGTCACCTGTTTAGGGCTGATATTTAAGACATTAAAAGGTTTTGAGCATCTTTCTGAGAAATGTTCTGGGGCTGTGTTTGTTGATTCCTGGAGTTGGTCAACAGCCAAAATTTTGGATTGATTTGCAGAACCAGTTTCTTCACTCTTATGTTTTCTATTTATGGGAAAAACACTCTAAAGTTGCTATAAAGCCCTTTTTCTAAGTTAAAACTTTTTTAAGCAGAAATAACCTGATACCAGATCATCCCAGTGTTGCAAGGCGCTATTTGTGTCGAATGAACATCGAGGGAACAGATGTATTCCCATTTGCGTGCAAGGCAGAATTAAGCGTAGTGACATGCTAGATATCGCCAGCGGGCAAATGAACACAACATGTGTTGATGTGTTTGAAAGTGTGTAGCTGATAGAGGATTGGGCCAGGGGACAAATATGCTAAGTAACCAGCTACACACCTTAAAGGCAGTCACCATACTTTTTTATTTCATGTTCCATGTGCACAGAATTCAGTACATATATCAGATAGCTATTAATCTGCTATACATGTACCTGGTGTGGCACCTGACCCTACTGTAAGAGTTTGCCTTTT